AGCGGAAAAATTTATTCGAGAAAACAGCGCTAAGAAAAATCTCTTGCTTCGCAAACAAACTCCGCCCACATACGCCTTCAACTGGATTCTCAGATCACTGCACCAATCAGCGCTTGGAAAGTTCACTACCATTAACCTAGCGGTGAAATTTACGCGCGAATCTCCAAAACACCGTTGTGTTTGGCAATGCGCTCAAGGCGGAAAGATAATTTTTCTGTAGCTCGGTTTTTCTTGAAGCTGGTCTGGCAAAATGGGGAAGACTAGAAAGAATACGAACGCTAGAGTGTTTGGGCGAAGAAAACAAACAAAAGAAAGCGCGGCGGAGCAAATGTGCATGGATATTATTCCAGTGAATCTCAATGAGTCCGACGGCGATTCATCGGTATCGGACTCAACAGAAGAGTGATTGTAAACATCGATGTTATCGCTGCCAAATTCCCCAATTTTTACACAACCTTTCTCTTCTCCTGACTCGATGTTTTTGCTCGCTTGATACGATAGTTATAGCTTCATGCGCGAGGCCAACTTTCGCTTCTTCACTCCGAGACGTATTTTCATTCGCTCTTCGCTGTTTTCGCTTTTTCGAACTAGTCCACGGAGTTTTCCGTGGTCCATGTCTACTTATAACGTAATAGAATTACACCTACTACGAAAAATGCTTGGATTAACAATGCTGATCAACTGAGAAGCCAGCCAATTCGTGGTATCCATATAGGTAATAGACCAATTTCGATATATTAAAATTCAGCCTAACACAATAGACCTCAGCACGAGGCTCTGGGGAATAAACCCCACAAACTCTGTAGTTATCCCCCAGAGCCTCGTGCTGAGGTCTATTGTGTTAGGCTAAATTTTAATACATCGAAATTGGTCTATTCCCGCGAAAGTCGTCTCGGTTGATTGCAAACACGTTATAGGGCTGTCAATCAAGAGGGAACTTTTACTTCCGGCCACAACCTAAAACCTTCATTTCTCCGCCAATATTTAGTTTTTTTTTTCAGAAATAAGAGATTACCCTTCGACGATTACTTTGACCCAAAAACCCAAATTTGAAGAAAATTGTCGATCTGAAGGTATAGGTAACTTTAAGTCTCTCAGGTCCTTTTTAATTTTTAAAATCTAAAGCATCTAAAGTCGTGCTGTTGGGTACAATCACTTTAACGGCAACAGGCTTTGCAACAGGTTTTGGAAACAGGTTTTGTTGGTTTGGTTAACGGTGTCTTAATCAACCGCTGTTGGTGGAAAAGATAGATGACTCCTTGAGACCCTCTTCACTGGATCTGTCGTTTTCTTCTGTTTGGGTCTGTCGACTGAATCTTCTCAGCTGTTTTCGTGTGGGAAAACTGTTTATCGATTATCCACTGAATCGAAAAAAGAGTTTTGCTGAGGACCATGAAAGAAAGGAACCATTTAATGTTACTTACTTTAATGACGGTTAAAAGTTGATCAACTAACATTTTGTCTATTTAATGCTACTTACTTTAATAGCGGTTTAAAGTTGATCAACTAACATTTTGTCCATTTAATGCTACTTACTTTAACAGCGGTTTAAAGTTGATCGACTAACATTTTGTCCCAGACAATAAAATAAATAAAAGCCAACCTAATCCTAGTGATTAATCTCAAATGATTGACCATGGCTCTGTAACAACATCTAACTCTAGGTAGAAGTGTAAAACTGAACTCTCCAACATCATTTGACATTCCAGTGAAAGATGAACAGTCCTTCATCTTAACAACAGACGCCGATGTCAAGTTTACTCATGAATCTGTAGAGGCACTCATAGACCAGATCATTGAGGACCCTCGAATTGGTGCAGTGTGTGCTCGTACCCACCCCTTGGGAAATGGACCTGTAGTCTGGTACCAGATCTTTGACTATGCCATTGGACATTGGTTTCAGAAGGTTAACAGTCTTTTGCTTCCAAGTGAATGATCATCATTTGATAGAACGAGGAAAAAGAGTAAACTAATAGCGTTCATATCATAATGATATTTTTTTGTGACCCTTTCTCCAGAATAAAAATACCGCTATCAAAAGGCGTTTTTGGAACTCTTCATAAAAGTTATAGAATTGATCGTGAAGTTGTAGAAGTTACTGGACTGCTGGTGTAATGGTCTTTACACCCAGCTGACGAGAGTCGTTAAGACACTTTTTAGAGATATTGTTGAAACGATATCTTTCTCTTTTTGATCTTAGAACAGAAAAAAATAAACGACGTGATAGACTAGAGAAGATAACGAAAAATATATTATTTTAACTTATTTCCAACTGGTTAAATCTGCAATTCTATTCTTGGCATTTTGATTATTTAAATGCTTTTGTTGTTCCTAGAGTTGTCCATTTCATTAATTTTCAATATCCCTCGGTTTAGGTTGCAAATCATATGCTTGGTTCAGTGCTGTGTAGTCCCGGATGTTTCAGTCTGTACAGGTGCAAGGCCGTCAGAGAGGTGTTACCAACTTATGCCACCGGTGTGGACCACGCTTTCGAATTCCTGACCAAAGATATGGGTTGGTGTCTTAGAAGCATAAGTGACAAGACGAGATGACTGTTAAATTATTTTAGCAGGAGGAATTAAGAAGACGGAAAATCACAATTCAAACGATGCATGCATGCAGAGTAACATATTTACTTATGACCTTTAGTATGTGATAGCGTTGCAGTGTTGCTTTGATGAAAAGAAGGAATCATTTGTCATAAACTCTCCTGTGAATAACTGTGGGTTTCCATAAGTGAGATTGACAAACAACTCTTTCAAACTAAGTTGTATATGATCTCTTATTCCTTAAAGGGGAAGATCGCTGGATGTGTACACTCATGGTTGAACGAGGCTGGCGACTGACGTACTGCGCAGCCGCAGAAGACAGTACTTACTGCCCTGAAAGCTTTGACGAGCTTTACAAGCAGAGGCGTCGCTGGACGCCATCGACTCTTGCCAACCTTGTTCTGCTAGTCAGTGAATGGAAGAGGATTTTGAAGAACAACGATCACATTTCTTTTCTTTTTATCCTTTACCAAACATTTCTTGTCTGTTCCACTGTTATTGGGTGAGTAGAGTCTCAAATGTTTAATGATTACTTTCCATGTTTCTGGCGTCCGTATCCACTTGTTGCAGATGTAATTCGTCCCTCGGCGCAGAGCGGATACTATCCACATTATTGAACACAAATACAAGTGCAACTTCATCGAGCAAATCTCTCAAATACAGATCAATAGTACTTACACGTGTATCGCACTTTCGATGAATCTGTTGAAACTTTGAAACTTTGCTGAGCAAACAATTTAATTGCACCACATCATCGGTATGTCTACCGCGGCAGTCTCGTTCCTCGACAATGCTTAGTTTTTTTTCTTAATTTATTGTATACGACCAGCTTGCTTTTCTTACTTCCAGACCATCCACAGTCATTTTGGTTATAGTGGGCGGAATGATGTTCTCGGGCCTTGCAGTCAATGAAATAACTACTGTTGTCCTTATCAGCCTGGTAATCGTTGTATACACCGTAATATGCCTCTTCACGTCACCAGATTTCCAGCTCAGGGTGTCCAAACTGCTGACGTTCGTTTTTGCTGTAATCATGTGCATTGTTTTCATTGGTGTAGCAGTTCAAATTTCAAACGAGATAAAATCGACAGGCATGACAACGCTAGAACCAAACTCAACCGAGTCAGCCTCACCTCAGTCGTTGGAGCAGCACCTACCGGCTGGAGTCAGCACTCTGTACTTGGCCGGGTTATCTGGCATCTTTATTGCCGCTGCCCTGCTGCATCCCAATGAGTTCACGTGTTTGTTTCATGGAATGTGGTATCTGCTGTGCCTACCCTCTGGGTATCTGTTACTGACAATATATTCTCTTTGCAATCTAACGGACAGATCATGGGGTAGGTATGCCCTTTATGCCCTAGTTGTTCGAAAGGTAGATAACGCTATCCACCGCATAAATCGCTACTTAGTGTCAACAAAACAAATAGTTCCCAATGGATAACGATTTATCCGATGGATAGCGTTATACACCTTTCGAACGACCCCGGCCTGCTCTTTTAGATAGCAAGTAGTTGCATCTGCGGCATCTACTTAAGGACGTTCGCGCTGATCGTTTCTGCGCATCCTTACTGCGCACGCAAATTCACACGCCACGTCATGCATGAGCACGCGCGCTAAGAAATAAAATGGACAATGATAGGTATGGTTGGCCATTCGTTTCAAAATTACGACAGGGTATACGCGGGTTTTTCTGTCGCGTATACTTGTTTA